AAACCCTTCTGTTCCGAGCGGTCGAGTCCCGCGGGAGACGTTCGTTTCTGTTTCAGGACTCGATCGGCTTCCGATCGCAAGAAGCTCGATTCGCCAAGTGGACTGAGCCAAACAACGTAAACATTCGGCGTGCGACGCCCCAAGATGGTGTCAGGATCGCGGAAAGCTACATTTTCAACGAGTATTCTCACTGTGTCCAGCCGGAGGGAAATGTTTATGCTTTCTTCGGGATTCCCTTGTCGTCTCGCGAGGAGATCGACCAATTACCGATCATTTCGAAACCAATAGTTTCCTCCCACGTCTTTCAGAATCAAGTACTCTTATACAGATGCACGGCTGAGGAAACGAAGGGGGTACGAGTCGAATCAAACACGTCGAAATCCTGTGAAAATCACGCCTAAGGTTTAAAGGAAGACGGTAGTGGTCGGTTGTCGAACGCTTCGGGCATATTCCCTTTAATGCGGGCGCCGGCCGGCTTAAAGCTGCGGCCCAACGAACCAACCGAGTTCCTGCGCCGTATCCGAACACCGGTGTCTTCAGAAATCCTTCCCGGACACTCGAACAGCGATCCCTTTGTACTCTGTCACGTTTCGTAAACAACAACCGTAAATATAATACCTGGAACGTTTAATCCACTCGCGCTTGATCTGTCGGGATATCTCTGGCGCGCACACAATTCCTTCCGATCACACAACCAAGATACGTTATCACTGGACGACCGTCACTCCTCCGCGCGTGTGTACAATGAGAAATCCGGTTCTCGTTTCGTAATATCACGCATACGTTACGATTTAATCGACGGACAAGTTATCTTTTGTTCGCTTCCGGTAAAAAGAAACTCCCCCGTAACGCGGAACATTTTAACACATTCACCATCGAACGGTTGAATTGCGACTGCGGCTAGCAGGCTCTGTTCCCGTCACCCCCTCTACTGCGCTGCCCCGGCTAACCATAGGAACGCCCAAATGAGTTGCGCGTCCCCCACCTCCCCGCAAGCCACGCCCACCGCCCGTTTTAATCCACGCCTCCTCCGGTCGCGCCTCTTTTTTTCGGATCCTGACGGACACCCAGCTGAAACGCACCGAAACAGTTTGAACAGAATCCCGCGCTTTTTCCGAATATTACTCGCCCGATGACGTGGCTCAATCGTCATTCGAAATTACAATTTATTTCGTGAAGAAACCATTTCTAATGTTTAATTTATAGCGACTTTGCTGGCAACCCGTAGTTCTGCAGTCAAAAGCTTACCACTGAATGTTACTGAGTCGGACGCTAGATTCCATAGTTTATTGAATTAATTTGACAACGGAACGTATATAAAAATACGACGGTTACATTAGATGATTCTATAAGAACGATCTAACAGTGATTCGTTGCGACTATAACAAGTTCTGTGAGTTCTTTCGTTATATTATTCAAAAAGGCAATTCGGTGTAAACTGTACGTTAGACTTTGTTCACTGATAACTGTTTACTCTGTTTGCATAAATGATTCCTGCCTGAACGGATTGGACCTTAAAGGGACCTTAACATTTATTGTATTACTCTTTCCACTTTCCTTTCACAATCTTTGCTTCTGTTTTTGAAGAATTCGTATCGCCTCTTCAATAGCGAGGAAGAAGACTAAAATGTAAAATATGTTTGACTGTAAAGGAAATAAAAAGCGACAGAAACGAGTGCACGATGATTCGATTACTCGACTGCGTTACGTACACGTGATCGTCAGTATGGCGTTTTCTCGCGGACCCTTGTGGCGCCTCGAGTGCTTCAATTTCTGTCTGCTCCGCGACCAACCCAAACTCCCTCCCGTGTCGGTACACCGGAGAAGCAAGTGGTGCCATTTCATGCGGTTTTTGCTGACAGTGATGCGGTATACACCGCCCGGTACGAGTCGGTCCTAGATGTCGCTCCGCCTCCCGACACCATCGCAGTCAATCTACCCGATTAGCGCATGCGCGATCAACAAGACCCTGTACAACGCCTGTTCGAAATACCCCTCCGCCATCTTTCCACCAGCCAGAATCGCTAGTATATAGACTTAACATGACTCTCTCTCTCCTCTCTCTACTCTTCGCTCTCCTCTCTCTATTCTCCTCTCTCCTTCTTACATGCTGTCTTGGCCGGTCGTACCTTTCCATATCTTCCTCTCCCTTTCTCTTGTCGTTAGATTCTTGGCCTTTCTCCCTCCTGTTTGGTTCTCCTGAACCGGCTATCGCCGCGTCTACCGTGGGAAATAACGCTGCTACCAGAGAAGCTACCAAAATGGTGGCCCAACGCGACCCGCCGCCTATCGAGAACCAACATGCACACTTTTATGTTTGAATTGAACCCGATGCATTATATAGATTGTAATTGCGACTTACCTGTGCTGTATGATAATGTTTCGTACCGATGACAATAAATTAATGCTAAGCTAGATGATCAAATCGAACATTACCGAACTGTTTTGGATAGATCGAAAAGAGGCGAGCGAGGAAAACAATTTTAGAAATTCTTCGCTACATACAAAAGCATTTTCCATTAGACCACACCGACTAGCGTTTGCTAAATTAAGTGTATGAGTCATGTGATTACCAGCAATTTTACAACTGCAAAAATAAAATTCTGGAAACACTATGCAAGACACAAAAGATTATTCAGGATTAGTTGTCCCTTGCACTTCCAATACGCTTTATAATTTTTATTGCCTGAAGATGATCATACGTTGTATACCTGTTTTGATTCATTAAATAAATATAAGAACTGTGTTCTGTTAATAAAAAGTATTACAGATATGTAAAAATATTATAAAATATATGCTTTCTTTAACTTCTTCTTCATCAACCATTTATTATTATCACTTGACCGATTCTAACGTGCTGATATTAACTATGAACGTATCATAGAATAATACAACAAAATATTATTTAATATTTAAAAGTAGTTATGTACGTGTTCAGACATA